CTCAAGCTGCTCAAGCACCTCCTCAAGCTGATGTTGAAGCTGATGTTGATCGGGCACTTGCTCTTTTTCCCGGAGGTGGCCGGGTTTGGACTACGGTTAGGCAAAGGGCGTTTACAAGAGCCAGGTTCTCTCTTCCCATTGGCATGCGGACAGCTGCAGGCATATGGAAATGGTTGGTAGCTACTGGTAACACCCATGGTCTTAGTGCAACTCAGGTGCATGACCATCTTAAAAGGATGATGAAGATTGAAAAAGCGGCACAAGAGGGTGATGAGGTGGAGGCACAAGAGGGACAGGTGGAGGCACAAGAGGGTGATGAGGTGTAGGCACTAAGAAATGGACGAAGCACTAAGTAAATAATCATATATAATATCAGTACTTATGTTAAAAACCAAGACTTTTCTTTCAGTTTTCCACTTATGTGAGTTGATCTAAGTGGGTACAAGCATTATAGACTGCTCATCAACCATCTCTCCTTATTTGAGTTTGCGCTATAACTTGTTTTGATCTTTTGGTCTCTAGGTTATGCTTCATTCATATACAATGAGTACGGTTTTGGGGGGAGCCTCTCTCTCAAACCGCACAGTCCCTTGTTGTGATCGAAGGTAGTTCGGTCATTTGAGCTTGCTGTCGGGAAATGAACAATCCAGCTATGCCACCGCATGGATTTGCCGGCGTGATGGGCATTATTATTTGACAAGATATCTATTTTTTTTTTTGCAACTAATCGAGTGTAGATTTTGAGCCAATATCGCCACGAATCTCTACAAAAGTTAAAAGTCCGTAATTAACTAAAGAAAATCATCATTATGTTTTTTTTTTTTTTATTGAAAAGGCTGTGAAACGAAAACGGGCCCTCCTCACAAATAAATGCCAAGGCCGTCTTCTAAAACAAACAACCAAAATTGTTACTTAGCCTCTAGTCTCCATCACATTCTTAACCAACACTCTTCAAAAGGAGTATTATACATATCAGTTTGAAAATAAATTAAACGGATTTTCAAAAAAGGAGATATGCTTATATATATA